TGACGCTAATTTTTAAAATTTTAACCATTTACTTACTCTATACTTACTGTGGGTTGTAAGCACATTTCTTGGTGCTTACTTTTATCTGTAGGATCCCCTCTTTCTGCATCTTCTTCTCTTTTATTTATGGAAAATTTTCCTTTCTAAGTCAGCGAAACAGGGAATTCTATCACAGATAGACCTCAGGAAAAACAGATGACGTTCCCAGAAAGTGTATAAATTTCCTGTACCCAGTACATTTTATTAGTAGATAGTCTTCCATTTCCATGTCTTTAAATTACACTGTAGAACTCCTAAATAGATAGATTGAAAAGTACCTCTCTTATTTTATTTTTTTATTAATGCAGGATTTAGCACTAAATATACCAGATACTATTTTCTTTTTTCAGCTGTTATTGGAGGTTTCTGGGGTGCTTGTTCCTCAATAATATTCCAGAACCCTGAACTCATAATTAGAGCTGGGTGAATTATTCATCCCAAACAATACTTACTGTGAATTTATGCTCCCCATTTCCTACAAGAACACTAGTTGTTATTACGGTTACTGAGTAGGGCAGCATGCTGCTTTCCAAGGGTTCTCAATTTCTGGGTTACAAGGTGCATCTATGAATTCTGTATTCTGAATCTTTTGTTTTCTCCTCAGAGGGGATGGGGTATGTTGTTCCCTCAGGAACAGCACTAAGGAGTTGCTCCTCATTATTTGCCTGGTAACTCTGAGGCAAAGAAGAGGTTTCTGAAGGTGTGACCTTTCCCTACAGGCTGTGGCTTCCAGAGTGTTTGTAAACCCATCTGAACTGATCTGACCTGAGCTGGAGGTGTTGATGTGGTCTGGCAGCTTGCTTGCTGAGTTCCATGGGGTGGCTTTCCCTGGATCAACTCACTTGTGCACATAGTTTGTCATGATTTACCCCTGGAGGGCAGCTCAGCTTCCCTCAGCCACTCACTTCTCAGTGAAGTGGGCTAGAGAATCATCAGGGTAAAAGTGAGAAAACTCATGGGTTGAGATAAAGACAGTTTAATAGGTAAAGCAAAAGCTGTGCACATAAGCAAAGCAAAACTAGGAATTCATTCACCACATTGGCAAGCAGTAGTTCAGCCATCTCCAGGAGAGCAGGGATCCATCATCCCTAATGGTGTCTTGGGATCACAAATGCCATAACTCTGAACATTCTCCCTCCCATCTTCTTCCTCCATCTTTTTTTGGTAAGCATGACCCTAACAGAGGTTGAGAGGAGAGAATGGCTCCCTCACTCCTATTCTCTGGAGATGGGGCAGATAGTGCAAGCCCCAGTGCTGGTGTCAGAGACCACACTATGCACGCTCCGAGGTTTGGTGGTGAAAAAGCAGTTTATTCAAATCGGCAGAGGGTTTTTAAGGGTTTTGGAGGAAGGCTTAGGAAGGGGGCTGTGATTGGGTACAGGATCAGGGGGAAGGGAGTGGTTTGGGGACTCGGCTAGCCAACGGTGGAAACAGGAGGATAAGAATCCAATAGAAACCCAGGAATTGGGGACAGACAGGTGAAATGACCAGTGGGGTTAAGACAGGGGCGGGGACTGGCTCAGTAAAGAAGACAGCATGGCACTGGGTGAGAGAATATCAAAGCCAAAGGGGAAACCGTACAATAAAACCGCAAATAAACTGTAAGTGTTTCCAAGTCGCCTAATTCCGGAGAGCCACTGCCGTGGTGGTCCCGTTCCTAAAGGCGTTCTTTCCATGATTCATAGTCCGTACATCTCCCACATGACCCCACAAGGTGTGGGATATCCCTGTGTTCAGTTGAGATCAGTTGTCCTGACTCCTTGTGCCCCCCCAGACCACTCCCTGGTGTGAGAAACAGAAAACCCCTCGTTGCTGTGTAAGCAATAACTGGAACATCCCTGTGTTATCAACACAGTTTTAACCCCAAATCCAGACCATAGCCCCACACAAGCTGCTATGAAGAGAATTAATCCTATCCCAGCCTGAACCAGAGCATCATTTTACCTTACTACGTATTCAATCACATGTCTTTGAGTCTGACTGCTGTGACTGCATGGGAGAAGGGCTGATGCCAGAACAGCCCAGCATGGAAAACAGCAACAGGGTTTTGCCTCTTCCGATGGTCCTCTGTATGCAGAGTCAGTGCTGTTTATGGAAAACACTCCTCTTTCACTCTTGTTTTGCTCAGTAGTGCTCATCTCTAACACTGTGATGCTGTTTAAGTAATTTGTCATTGTCTTTTCTCCTTTTTGGTGTTCAAATGGGAGAAAATTTTGGGGATTAGTTCGATGGTGCCTGCAGGAAAGTTACTCTTGCACTCAAACTGTGAATCTCAAGTGTTCCCTCAGATATAAGGAAAATAAGTTTTCCTTAAAGAAAAGATGAAATTCCCAGCTTTCATCTTTGCAGACATAAATTTACAGTGAGAGGAGTGTACAGTCTAAAGAGCTGAAATACAAAAAGTGTTGAAAAAAGGATAGGAAGAACCAAGTCTCTAAGAAAATTGCTGTATTTTGGGTGCTTATTGTATTCACATGATTTATGAATATATTTTTCTTGCAACTACCTTCACAGAATGTAACAAAATAAATTTGAAATGGTTTTTGGTGCTAACACAACAATGGTTATTCTCTATAATTTTATTTATTTATTTTTTAAATCCTATATAAAATCAATATGAATTTGGGGATTCTACTTCTTTCCTAATCATCTACTTCTTGCATCCAGACTCTCAAATGCCAACAATGAACAATGCCTGATGTTTTAATTTATGCATACATTTTGTTTTATTCAAAGAGATCAATTTTTGTAGCAATTATTCTGTATTAAAGTTAATCTGTGTTTTGTTTGGCTGATTTTGTTTTAGTTTTTTTCCCCTTATCATTGCTAATAATTGATTTAGCAAAGACCAAAGGTGTTAAATGAAGGGTAAGCAGATCCTTTGTCCTAGTTAGAGCAGCCAGGACCTGTTCATCACTGTGTGGGTGTAACCCAAAATGTGTATTCTACACCCTCTGTGTCATTTCCCAGGAACTGTTAACAATAGACCACTTGCAGCAGCTGCCCAGAGCACATCTGGCCCCTCAGGCTATAGGCTGGGTGTTGGGAAGCCTGAGAGATAGGAGGGTGTTCCTGTCCTCACACCAATGACTCAGGGACTTAGATGTGATAACTCCCCTCTGGGGAGTCATTAGCACCTCCACACCCAGCCTGAGGGGTCATGTCTGCTAATGGGCCACCAAGGATTCCAAAAATATCTCATGACTCACAATCACCCATTGTGGAATTCCTCGCCCTGGGGGAGGTACTGGGCATTCCCACTTGAACCTGAGTGTATTTAATCTTGGGATCTTTGGACTTCTGGGCCCGCCCACTTGTCAGATCCAGAAGAGGACCAGAACCTCGACCAGACTGCAACCAACATTCTCACCAAGAGGTTTTCCCTCTCCTTTTACATTGGACTCAGGGGGACCACGTGAGGCTCAGCACAGGGGCCAGTGAACACCATTCTGTTCGTGCCCCAGGGTGCTGGGTTATACATCTGGATTTTGTGGGTTAAAACCAATTGTTTGTCTGTAAAATTGTATTTATTGTATTATTTTTATTAAATTGTAACTCTGACTTATAATCTTTTTTTTGAGTTGGGTTTATTTCTCCTGCCGTTTTACCTTTAAACTACCACATCCTTAAAATAAAAAAGAAATAAAAAGGCAAATTTATCTGATTATTTAAAGCACTGCTATATTACTGATATTTTGAGTAAAACTGATAAAATGAATAGCCACAGCATTTCTGGAGATGTGGCCAGATGAATGTGGAGTAAATATTCTCCTAGACACTATAAAAATGTTGTACCTGAAGATGATTTCACCTCCGTCTGTGAGCAACTGTAGTTACAGTAATACCATGTCTGCATTTTTTAGCCAAATCTGAACTTGCAGGTTCTATTTCTTACAAGAACTACAGATAACCATGAAAAGAGTAGGAAGAGAGAGGAGGAATTCTGAGGGGCAGGATGGGAAATAAAATTTTTCTTTTTACAGGAGATAAGTGATTTTCAACAATCTGAAAGATGGGGGGAAAATAAGTTTTCTATCCATTCCATGTCTCCAGAATGAGTTACAAAGTGGTGCGTGGGCAGCTTCTTGTGAAAGGATGCACAAGATGTTCCCTTTGGTCATCACTGAAAAGTTAAAGCTGCAGCATTAAGAAATCAAGGTTCCTTTGTTATTTAATTGTAGTGGAGATGACACTGAGCTGCAATACAGAAAACCTAAATTTTTTCTGGCTTCTTCCCCCAACCTACCACTGAGAGATCTTATGTGATCTCTTTCTCCACTTTGCTACCTCTGTCTTGTTTAATTAGTATCCTGGAAAATTCCATCTCCTGTGATCTTACTGGGAGATTTTGATTTCAGTTGATGGCTCTACATATAAACAATAAGGAAAATAATGATAATCCCAGACAGTCATCTGTCCCCTGGCTCACAATGACTCTGTGGAGCCCAGTCTACATTCAGGGTTTGGTAAAACTGTGGATGACACAAAGCAAATACTCTGTGGGAAAGATGGGAGGAAAATGACATAATGAAAGCAGGACTAAATGGCTTCACATCCCTGCAGGTGTTTCAAATGAGGCAAAATATTTCAGCAAATAGCCCTCTCTGGACACATTACTGCTAAAACTACTGTAATAGGTACAGGGCAGTATGGCTCTGCTTATGTCATTTGGTGTTTTTTGGTATTTGTGGATTTTTTCTTTTTTGTTGTTTTTGGTTGGTTGCTTGGTTTTTTTGCGTTTGGTTTTTGTGGGGTTTTATTGTTTTTTTCTGACTCTTTTTGTATGTTTGTTTTTTGTGGGTTTTTATTTGGGTTTTTTGTTTGTTTATTTGTTTTTCTTCATTAAAGACATGCCTCCGTGTCTCTACCTGCACTCTGTGAAGTTAACAAAATCCCTTATGTGTCAGAATTCAAGTAAAATCATCTATCTTCCAAACTCTTTTTCTCTTCAGAGTCTCTCCTTCTGTCCTTCATCCCAGCTCCTTCCTTTGTGTTAAGACAAAATCCTCTCAAGTGCTGAAGGAACTATATTTCCTCAGAAATTAAAGACTTTTCTTGGTTCTCGCCTCTGTTTTCTTTATTAAACTACTTAAAATAAATATTTTATTTGAAATGAGGAACAAGAAACAGGAAGGATGTGACCTGGTTTTCTTCTTGTTATTATGAGATATTTTCAGTAATTCTTAAGAGGATTTCCTCAAATGTCCTTTCAAATATTCCACTTTCCTTCCCATGATCTCCTTTGTTTTAATATTCATGAGGACCTGAAGCTGGGTGAGAGGTAGCTGTGGCACTTCATAAGATGATACGAACTCAGCATGAGGAAGTGTGTTCTCTCAGAAAGCAGAAATAGAGGGTGTGTGTGTGAGGATTAAATGAGTGTTTTAGAGACAGTAAAAGCTTGTATTTCTAGAAAAAAAAAAACCAAAAATTAGATATTATGAAGTAGAATACTTACAATTCAGATTTTTTTTCCCCTGCAGCTCCCCTCCAACAGCTTTGGAATTTTACTGAAATAATTCTGATTTTTTTTTTCTTTTTATGTGGAAATTGAAGTTTGAAACAGAGTTAGTAAACACACATTTACATTTTAACTGAGATCTAGTGATTTCAATCATCGCTCAATTAAACTCAGGCATCCACCTGACCAAGTGTACTCTTATCCACAGGACAATTGTATTAGTCTATGGACAGACATTTCATTTGTTTCTCACGTGGATTTTATCTTCTTAGGATCCAAATCTGAAAGTATTGAAGTTATCTACGAAATACTAAATTCTTCCTATGGAACAGTAATTTTGATCATCATTACCTAAATGGCTTTTTATTTCTTTCAAGTTTGTTAAACTCTTAAGGATATTGTAAATGCCTTAACTGAATCTAAGTCACAAGTTATAAAAGGACTTGGGGATCCAAACCTCTTAAAGCAGTTTATCTTTCGTTGTAACAAGTACAATAACATTTAAATGATTGACATTTTCATGTTTGACTGATGACCTACACCTTTTTTTTTAATACAGTAGTTACTTTATTAAAGACGCAAAATATTGTTCTCTTTTTCACTTCTTCCCCTTCCCTCTTGCCTTTATCTGCTACTTTATTCTTGCTCTAGTCCCTGTGTCTTCTTCTCTCTTTCATTCTATAACCTCAGTCTTTTATCCTTTGCAACGGCTAGGACCTGTTTTGTTCCTGGGGCAGTTCCTGGGTGCTGAAAATGTTGACCTTTCTCTCAGTAATTCCCAGCTTTACCTGCTCATTTCAGCTGCACATGAGGAGTCTCATTGCTAAAATCAGGTTTTCTCCCTCCTCAACCACAGGTGACTTCACCCCTCCCTCTGGGAAACAGGCCTAGGGGGAACAGGGAATAGAGAAAGTCACTTGTGGCTGTGTCTAAGTTTTGATTTGGCTCCCCGCCAAGTCCCCAAGACCCAGCACAAAACCTCCGGCAAAGAGCAAAAGAAAAAAAAAACTATGAAAAGATACAGACTAGCTGAACTATATTAAAATATATGTATTTACATATAGTACAGTTGTATACAGTTAAAATACTATATACAATCCCAAAAGGGAAAGGGAAAAGGAAGGGGAAAAAAAAAGGACAAAATCAAAATAGATATGCACAATCAAAAACTCAGGATCTAGCAAACTAAAGAATTAGCAAAAGAATATCTTACAGAAATCACACTGAATGACCGCCAGCACCCTCTGCCTCCCAAGCTCCACAAGGCAAGGCCTCACCAGGCCTCGCTCCCCCACACGGCAGAACCGACAGCAGGGCACCCACGTGTGGCAGGAAGAATGTAGCAATGAACCATGGGAGTTGTGGTCTCCCGGGTTCTCAGACAATATTTGATTGTCATTGGTTAGAGGGTTACGTGACATGTTCAGGTGTGGTATTTAAACCTTGGCAGTTTGAATAAACGGTAATTCTGCTCTGGCACCTGTTCGTGTCTGAGTGGGGTTCGTGCCTTGAACAGCACCTCACCCACGCCTCCAGAGCCACCGGAAGGGAAGAGAGGAAGAGGCTTCTCTCTCCGTCTATTTATGTGTTGGATTACGTAAAGGAATAGGATGGAATACTTCCTTCCTTCCTTCTTGGCAACCAGGAAGGTTCCTTCCTGGAAACCAGGAAGGAAGGTCTAAACTCAAAACCATTACAGGCTGGCAAAGGACTCCCCTTGCAGGGGGTGGTTTGCCTGGGGAATTTTGTCTGGAAAGACCCTAGGAATTCTAGCTAGGCCTACTGGCATCTTGCTGCTTTGCAAAGGTAGTTCTTGTAGCTGCTGTTAAATTGTAGAGGACTATTTCTGGCAAAATGAGAGTGCTTGGAAGCTTAGTTGTAAATATAGGTATTTCCTCTGGAGGACAGATAATTTTTTATAATAAGAGTCAGAACAGAGACAAAATGAGACCTTTGAAGGCAGAATTTCTCACAAAATGTTCCTTATTTCTTTTCTGCTTTGGTGCATTGTCAGGACAAAACCCTAGTGGCACTAAAGAACTTGAATCTGAGAAAAGCTAGATTTCACCTTAGCAGAAAACAGACAATAGTTCTGATAAAATGTAGAATTTGTATTTAATTTAATTTTTCTTCTTCACAAGAACATGAATGAAAATAACTTACTAACTTACTTAATTTGCTACCTTAGAGCCTGGCCTTGAAAATAATTAACTAAGCGTTGCCTTGGGAGATTTGCTTTAAAATGCAAGCAAAATGGAAGTGATGTAAGGATTTTGTTGCTCTCCTAGAGCTTCCCCACCTTTCAGTGTTTCAACCATAGAAAGACTGTTTCCTGCAGGCTCAGTATTCACATAAAAAATGAGATGTGCTGACAAACAGAGCATCTCTCTAGACAGTGATAAGCTCTGTTTGAAGCCAGCAGCATTTGGGACTTTTTTTTCTCCTTTTAAACACAACTACTGAAATTTACCGTATTGCTGAGGGAAATCTGAGAGATGACACACATGTTGGCATTTCTGCTGTGTGAAGGATTAGCTCTTAGTCCACTGTCTCTGCCAGACTATCATTAGTATGTGGAAAAGTGGGTATAAGAGTTAACAAGGCTTACTTTGTCACTGAGACTGTATTTACACTTAAGAAATCCAAGTTCTTTGTTAAAGAGGAGATTTCTGAGCCTCCTATAAATAAAGCACTGTTGAAACGGTCAGCTTCTGATCACTGGTGTACAGTGAAACCTGTTTATTTTTTTACTTAAGCATTGTCTGGAACCTGATTGATTTTGATATTGTGCTTTGCTGCCTGAACATGGGTTCCATCTTCCCAGATGAAAACCTGATACCCTTTCTTCATGGAACACTGGACACATCATGACATTTGAAAAGAAAATGTCATTTTGTGCCTTCTGAAGATGGGATGAGATGTGCTGCCCTGACAGGTCTGAAAGCTGGCCCATGATCAGAGAAACTAAGGTTAAACTGCAGCATAAGTGTTGATTAATTCAGTAATCTCATGGATACTATTTGTTGCAATTGTCATCTTGATTGTGTTGGTGTCCCCCTTTGTGGAAAGGTGTGCTTTCAGGAATTGCATTGTTTCACATGGAATTACCCTATATAAAGAAAACTAGGAGTGATCCTGTCTTTGAAATGAGAAAGGAAATGGAACGTGGTTGTTCTTAGCACACAGTGGAGGATGTAGTGGAATCTGTCCCTCTGTATGCAGTACTGAGCACTTAGTTCTAGGAGAAATAAACCGAGGACTTGGGTGAATTGCAAAAACACAAGCTGAAAAATGCTGACTTTGGTGTGAGCTACATAGGATGAGTTAAAAAGTTTAGCTCCATCTCACATAAAGTTTGCACTGTCTGCACTACCCTCAATAACCTTGCTAGAATGATGATTTTTTTTTTAACCTTCTGTCTATAAAGGCCTTAATAAGATATAAAATAAACACTAGAAATAGCCTTCACTGCATTTTCCAAAGGTTATTTTGTCACAAACTTTTTTGCCCGGGTTTTCTTGCAGCAGTTGAATTCTCGTGTATTTTCAAGCTGGCATGTGACTTTTTTGGCTTCTGTGGGTCACCTATTTGCCTCCAAATTGAAGTGGCTGTTTCCACATTTCTTCTCATGTCCTGATACAGAGGAGGAAACAGGATGTCTGGCCAAAGTGTCAGTCAATCGGACAAATGCCTGTTGGCTCAGCTCCAGGCTGTTAAGAGCCAAGCAAACTGATGGCATTCAGTTTGAGACAGTAATCCCTGCTCTTCTGAATGTGAGATTAGAAGAAATGCATATGTATATAGTGCAGTGTCTATATGTATATGTATATGTTAGTCTACAAACCTATATATATATATATATAAGTAAAAGAAAAATGACACCTGGAAAATACTTTATTATTACAAAATAATGTACAAACTATTTAGTGTTGATAGGCTTTCATGTCTGACTTTTTCTGGAGTCCAAGCGGAGGGATATTTCATAAAAATCATACCAGGTCCCTGGACATTAGAGAATATAAACATGTAAAAAAAATAGGCTGATGCCAAAGTTGTATTAACCAAACAATTCAGAATGCAAAAGCTGAACTCTCTTTTTATAGGCCTAGTCTACTTTGGTAGAAAAAGTAAAAAGGAGATGATCAGAAACAGTTGACAGCTGGCTAAATGTCATGCTTATCTCTTGAACCTAGATTTACATTTAGAAACATTATTAATAACCAGAGAAGAGAACAACATAATTTCAAATATTAAAAATTAATTAAAGTGTTACAAGGCTGAAAATGTTCGGTAGTTTTGTTTGAATCAGTTCTAATAGCGTTAACAGCCTTTTTGTTTAATCGTGGTTCTTTTACTATGTCTTTCTTGTATCCAAAAGAAACCGATATTTTATCTCAGTTTTTCATCAATAGAAAACAATACAGAGAAGAAAATGAGTGTTTCCCTCAGAATAAGACTCTAAATCCCTCAAAATATGACCCTGAGAATGTAGGAAGGCTCTCGAGTCTCTATGTTAAAAGAAACACATAATTTTAACCTTACCCACTGTAATAACTTTATTCCCATGAGCACTAACTTTAAGAGATTAAGAAAAAAACCCCTTGAGAATTTAAAGAAGTAGGAGAGGAAACATCTCCTGTCCAAAATAGCACAGTGAATACAAGGGGGGATGTTTTGAGTAGTGCATTTCACTGGGGAAGGCAGGACTGTGAAGGTAGTTTGGAATGTACTTATTCTTTTAAGGCAGAGCTGACAAAAAAAAAAAGAGGTAGAGATAGTGGATCTAGTAATGCTCATTTATAACTGTTTTTAAACATCTACCACAATTGTACTTTATTATCATATAGTATTTGCCTAATCAGTTAAATGATTAATTTATTCATAACCTTTACTGAAGCCTGTTTCTGAAATGAACTGCCTTTGGACTAGTAAATAATGATCACCACCAGCAGTGTACCCAGCATGAGGTTAGTTGGTTCTTCTTTAACCAGTTTCTTTTAGTTTTTTTTTGTTGAGAGTGCAGAAAAGAAATATTTCAAATGGAGCTAGTTTGATGTTTCTAGAAGAGCAGCCCTTTGTGAGATGTTTTGACTACATGGCAGAACAGCTTCTATAAAGAGCTATTTGGCTAACTACAGCTTCTTAACTCCAAACAGGGGGAAAAAATTACAAAAAGTCTACTCAAGTGAGTATAACAAGAACAAGGAAGATAATCTTAACAAGCCCTGGGAGACAGACCATTAGCTGAAATTCCCATGTCAGTATATGTGTATAACACACAGCTTCAGCATTACTGAGGTTCTGTGCAAGCCCTGAAAAGGTTCTCATGGTTTGGTTTTGGGGTGGTTTTTTTTTATTTTTTTTTTTTTTTTTGTGGTTTTTTTTGTTTATTTGTTGGTTGATTGGTTTTTTGTGTGTGTTTTTGTTTGGTTTTGCTGGGGTTTTGTTTGTTTGTGGGGATTTGTTGTTTTTATTTCTTTTTTTAAATTATACAAACATTATGCAGTTCTCCTGCTGCTGCTGCATTCGTGCAGGGGTACACTTATTAGGGTCCCCCTAATAAGTGTTACTTTTTTTAGAATTAAAAAGTGAGTGACAGCTGTGAAGATGTACAAGGGACACCAGATATTTATGCATGTTTCCTCGTGGACTTCCATCATCTTCCATTCCATACCAGTAAATTAGAGGCCTCTATCTTCTTGGCACCCTCCCTTCACATAATTAACCTTAAATTGGTGTGTCTGGTCTTTGTTTTCTGTTCCATAAAAAGCATCTCTGTCTTGCGAGAGAGTATTTAAGTATTTAAGAGGAAAAACAAATGTCTCATTAGCTTCAGAGGAAGGACTGTCTGAATATTTTCCCTTTTCCAAATATTTCAATCATGCTGGTAGGAACAGTGCTGAAAGAGGCAATAGTTTGAATGATTTTTTGGAATGTGATTTGAATTCTTCTTTGGATTTTGTCTTGTGGTCATCAGCTCAAAAAATGAAATCTAAGAAAGTGTAGCTACCAACTTATTTCCAAATTACTGTAGAGGTTGAAGAGAGATAGATTCGTGACATCCTGTAGCAACTAGACATTTTATTCTGTAGTACTGCTAAAAGGAGAGAATAGGAGGAGTTCTGGACAAAGGTCATTTCAACTTTCTTAGATGTAAATAGCTACAATACCTCATGGAGTGTGTGTAACTTCAGACATTGAGAGTTAATATATATTTATCCACTTAAAATATAGGGGTTTTTTAAAAAATCATACCTCCATGAGCTCTCTTCTGTATTTCCTCTTTCAGGTTGAAAAT